TCAGAATCTGCACTTTTAACACAATTACCTGTGATTCATAGGAAAAGCACTGCTATAAGTCACATAAATTCCATTTTTCTGTCCTCCAATGGATAAAACTCAACGTGCTGATCAAAACCGAACTTCACAGTACCCTCAAGTTTCCAGCAGCTGGTCCTTCGTAGAACTAGGAAGAGCCAGAGTGGAGTCAGCTACTAGGACTTGATCTCTTTCTCTGTCTCTCTCTCTGTACCCCCCTCTCTTCCCTCCCTCTTGTCTTTGCTCTTTCTCCTTGCTTTGGTGATAAAATCATATTATACAGAGGAGCAGCAAAGGGTCTAATTTCCTATGCTAATTTACTTTTTTAATGTTAAAGACCATTAGCCAAAGCTAGGTAAAGCAAAAAGAGTTATCCTCTTTTATTGCTATTTTTTCTGCGTCTTTACTTTTTATGTGACCTCCTCACTCTTCCTTGTGCATCTCCTAGAAGGCAGAAGAAGTAAGTATTTACTGAGTATCTGGCATCTGAAGGCACAGAAAGTCAGTTTTCCTCATTTAATTTTTATACCAACTAGAAATACAGCCATGGGGAGGGGGCCACGGAATCATGCTCAGCCAGTCCTCATGAACACATTCTCCAAAAGTAGTACTTTCTCAATGACATTCTAAACGTTTATTATTGTCACAACTATGAGTTAGAATATGAAGAAAATATGTTAGAGAAATAGAGAACAAAAGGGAAGTGGTGAGACCCTGGGAGAAATCTGTCATAAAATGTGGCCATTTTTTTCATGATTACCTTCTGTTTTGAACAACATCCCAAAGTCTTGCCCAAGTCCATTCTCCTTCAATCTCCAGCATTTTTAAAACCAGCTGTACCTCTGATAACAAACCTAAGAGTCTGGGTTTTTAAATTATTTAGTTATTTTATTGTATAGGACACTGGGGCTCTGATAGATTTAGCCTTTGTCCACAGTTACAGAGACAAAATCCAGGTTTTCTGATTCCGCATAGTACTTTCCATTCCATCGCTGGCATTTCCATTCTATTCCTGGCCACCCCCACTTTACATCCCAGGGACTGGAAGCCTGAGGCTAAAATGCCCATGGATCCCTGCTGACAGTGCCCAGGTATATTAGATGCCACTAAAGAGAGGCATTTCACAGATTTAGATGGAAGTAACTGGGATTGCTGAGTGTCCTGTGTCTCCAACTCCACGACCCCATGAAACTGAACAGAAAAAAATGAGAGCTAACAACAGTCTTCTGTGATCTCTATTTTTTAGTACCCAAAGGTTTTGTTGCACCTAAATCCTATATTAAATTATTTCCTGTTTGAATGCCTAGAATAATTTCTATTGTCTTCACCCAGCCCTCACTAAGACAACCACATAGCTGTTCACTCCTGTACTCAAGCTAACATTCTGTGCTGTACATCTTTCTGTATAAACGTACTTTATTTACAAAAATTTCCTATTTGTCAACTTCTCCTTTACAAACTGAATTGTTTTCCTGGCAGAGGTCATAATATAATCTGTTATCAGTGTTTCTGGCACATAATGATGCCAGAACAACTGGCAGCTGCTGAATAACTAGCAGTTGACTGAATGAACTAAGTTCAAGCCCACTTCTAATATTTCTTTCCTAAACATCATCTATCTACTCCCATGACAGTTTCCTTTCGAGAGGTAGAAATTCAGAATGGGATCGCTGGGATCAGAATATTTTTAAGTCCTGAAACTCTAATGTCTTAAGAGATTAAAGGGCAGGGTGGGAAATACATGAGGTATTCAAGGAAAGCTTTATTTTGTGTGAAAGCTACTGGAATATCAAGAGATACATTTCTAGGGAATAGCTTCTGTTGTGACTCCTTAAAAGTTGGCTTTGAGGAGATGAAGGGATCCTGATAGTCTATTGAATGTCTTCATCTATACCCATAACTCAGCTCTGATTCTACATCTATTTCCTTTCCCTTCTAACTGTACTTACTTTTACAGAAGTTTCATTATTATTGCTGATTCATATCCAAACCTCATGGTTTATGCTCTTATGGAAGTTAATAATCAGAGATGCCCACTTATATTTTTATACATTTTATAAGTATACCTTTAAATTTTTTCTTTTATGTTTCTGCCAACTCTATCCTAAATAGATAGATGCTTTCATAATCATATCTGCAGGGGAAGAATATAATATAGTCTCTGATCAGCAGGCAGAGATCTCTGTTCATTATGGACTTTGCTTTATAAAGATCATATGGGTAAAAGTTTTTGGGTAGCAGAGTGGTTCATCACTTTCTTGTCAAAGAAGGGATAGCTATGTTGTGGATCTAGGTAAGAGGGACTGCTGACAGCCTTGCAAAATTTGTGTGTCCTAAGCATGGCACAGAAAAAACTGAGATCCAGGTGCCTAAAGGGCCATGCTAGCCAGGTGCTGAGTGTCTCATGAATGCCTATGTGGATAAATAACTTGATGATAGGAGGAAGTCTCCCACCAAAGTCTTATAACCTGTTAGATAATTGTTAGAGTCCAGAACCTTAACATACCCTTACACAAAATTAGAGTAGATTTTCCTCCAGCCTGATGAAATTGGCTCTCTTGAATGAGAAACAAAGTCAATTTATGACCATAAAAATTATGTTTTATACATACTGAAATTTTGGATTGAGATTCACATCTGTTGTAAAATCAAGAACTCAGACTTACTGAAGGAGAAGCTCTATGCCCTCATTCTGAGTCAAAAGCCACCAGATTATGGGCTTTCCAACAGTTCACTTTGGTTGGAAGCAAGAAATGGCTTAATCCTTGACTGGCTATATCCTGACCAGCACTGGAAGGGAATAATCAAGGAAAAAGCAATAGTTGGAGTAACTGAGGCCTCTTGGTTTAAGTAGAATAAATATCAACACAAGTTAAAATCCATGATAGAGGAAAAAGAATTAAGTCAAACTTTTGCAATCAGTTAGCCAATGAACTGCTACTTTCAGAACCAGAAGAGTTTACAAGCTACTTATGAACATGCTGCTTATCACTCAAATAGTGCTTGTTACATACCAAGCCCCATTCTAAATGATTTAGCCCACACAATCCTTACCATAGGCCTATCATATTATTAATGAGGCATTTTATATTATTAATCCCATTATATGGATGAAAACATGATGGCATATGGAAGTTTTGTGACCTATCCAAGGTCATATCGATGGTAAGAGGCAGTTCTGAGATTTGAACTTAAGCAGTGTAGCTACAGAGTTCAGCTTGACCATCACACAACACTGCCTTTGCCCGTGAAAACAACCCCACAAATCTCGGAATGGTATAACCCCCCCCACCCCCAGTGAAGAGACTATCAGGCCCACACCTTTTATTTTAAAGATGAGGAAATAGCAGCAAAGACGGTAAAGAGATTTTCTCAGGGTCATGTAGCTCAACACATCACTCATCTTTGTTTTATGATAAATGATATTCATTGTCAATCAAATTAATCACTTTGTTATTAATGTTTCCCAAGAGACAAATCAAAAGTTTTAAATCCAGCCTTTTATGGCCTTCCAGGAATTTTACTTAAAATGCTCTGAAGCTGACATGGGACCTGAGTGACGGGATGCCAAGTGGTCTCGGAGGCCAGGAAAAGCACCTTGATGGGTAATCCCCTGGGTGTCTCGGAAACAAGGCTGTGCCAGGAAACCACTTAACAGAAGAGCAGGCAAGAAATCAGGGAAAAGGAACCCAAGGACTTCAGTGTAGTAATTTAGGAATATATGCTGACCAAGGTTTTCTCTACTCTTAATGAAATACCTAGGATTAGAAACCTGTGTTTTGTAAATGTGATCTTTATGTTGCTTTATTTATGAAATATCAATTTCAAAACAAGATTCCTATGGAAAATTAGTCTCCCCACAAAAAGCAAAGGATCATTTTGATTCTCCCTTGCCTATTAGAAAGGACTAACATATAACTGTACTGACTCATTGGCATGTCCGAAGTCCACATGACAAAGTACTGTTAAAGAAAATAAGACCCACTGCTATCTCCTGAAGAATTATTTGATTGTGGGCAGAATATATATATTTTAAAATCCATCACGGGGACAAGATACTGCACCAAGGAAGCTGTATTATTTAGATCACCGGACATTTAGTGACCTCTCATCTTAATCCTTTCTGCTTTGGCTGTGCTGACATGTCCTGTCACTGATAAGCTCAGACTTGCCTTATTACAACCACTGTTCTTATCTGAAGGCTGAATCAGATAATATTTAAAAAAACGTCACTTACTTGCTTCTAACCTTTTCAACCCTTATATCAATTTTCATCCTAAGAATGCTCTTCCTGATTGCAGAAAAAAAGAACATATCATGATGAAAATGATGCATCTGTCAACTTACAAAGACATCTTAAAGATGAAAATAGAGGCAAGAAAGTAATTGAACCTGTGCTGAGAGGCTGCTGACAAAGCCCAAAGAAACAAAGAAATATGAGAGTTAACTTGGGCAACAGTGGCACATGCTAAAACTCTTGCTCCCAGAGCCGTGATCTGTTTTAGGTTAATGGTGGGAAGAAAGTGCTGTATGCCTGAAACAAATTGTTACTGTTATTACTAAGGTCCTATTTATTAAGTTAGAAAAACTTAACAGATTTGGAAATTAAAGTTAGAAGAAACACGTTTTTAATTTTTAAAATATCTACTGAAATTCTGATGTTCTCTCCAATAAATAGATTGTTTCAATTTGGATATATTCCTGCACACCTATAGAATTGTTGCTGTTGCCCAGAGGACACTGGAGTGAAGACACCAACTCATGACCAACCCAATCGGATCAAATCTCTTTTGATTTTCCTTGAAGGAGCCTGGTTCTGTGGATTTTACCTAACCAGGTAAACAACTAACTTGACTGTGGCTTCCAGACAAACCGAGCAACGAACAACACAGCAAAATGCAGGCGGTGACCAAAGCTCCCCAGGCTCCTAAGGTTTTCTAACACCTTCCACTCAGGCAAAGACAAATTTGGCAGGTACTTACCGCATTGAAATTGGGGAAGAGGTTGACTGCAGCTGCAGTGTCAAGAGGAAAGGGAAGAAATGGTTTAATATCCAGCGATGGTTGCAAAGGAGGGGCTGGTGGACGGACAAGGGCCGGGAGAGCAGGACTCTGGCATGTACCACCTGTGAAGACCAGAGCAAAGGGAGCAATCAGGGACACCACGCATGGAAAAAAACACCAAAGTTGCTTTTGAGACAAAAAGGCCAGCTTTGTGGGTCACTGGAAAAAACAAGACATGGACTCTTTTGACCTCAACTGGGAACTGGCCAATAAGCAGATTTGCCATTAGGCAGAGGGAGCAAGTTGAACTGCTCCATTTTCCTTTGATTATAACTATCTGGTTATGTAAGTAATAGTCAACATTTCAAATGCCCCAACCTGTCTTTATTTCTCCTTCTTAGAGCTCCAGATTGGGCCAGTCACAAATCTGCAACTAAGATCTCTGGTTTCTAAAGAAAAACCTCTTCATCACACACCCATCCCTCTTTGAAAACTAAACCACTCACAATATGCATCAAGTCTGAGTGATTATTTTACAGAACTGCTCTTTTCTATCACATCCAAAACTCTGGCAGCAAGATGACATGAACCTGGCACATAAAAGAAATTTAACCTCAAACCCAGGCAGCTGTACCTTGCTGCTGTAGCAATTGAAGGATTAAAAACCAGCAAAACCAGTGCTATGATGTCTGAACTGTTCAGCAGCCCTGTAGCTCTGAGTATTCAACAACTCCCTGTCTCCTTCCCAGTCATGAGTAGGTGGAATTTAGATGGCCACTGATGAGCAGGCAGTGAGAATATTATGCCAACAAAGACATCCCCTTTGCCTACCAGCAGGCAGCCAGCGTTTTGCAAGACAGCATGCACCTTTGTCCTCTAAGGACTCCACCGCACTCAGGAGCTGGAAGGATGGACGCCCATCCTCAGTGTTCAGTCCCCCATATTTTGGTAACATTCCAGAACATCAATTTGCTGTTAATTAAAGGCTGTTTGAATCCTAGGAAACTGTTAAAATATGCCAACATTCTTCTAATCTGAGATGCAAGCAACAGACTGTAAAAACCTGCTGGTGAGAATCCAAGAAGCATTAGGAAAACAAAATGCAGTGGGATTTTTTTCTCTCTAACAGTAAAGAATTCTAGGAGTCATGCTTGTGCCACTTACTTGCCTGCCATCTCATTTTTAAAAACAAAGTAGAGTGAGTCTCCTTGTATAAATTACCTTTACAAATTTCACAACAAACTCTCTGGCCAACTGCACAGAGAACATCATCTTGCCCTCAATCAGTTATCTGTGCACAAAATTAACGTTCTGAAAATGATTCCCCAATGATAAATCCAACCCTATGGGGCCATAGAGGATCTGCTAACAAGGTAGATGACTTAGTACCTATAACAGAAGCAATCAGCACAGGATTTAATTAGCCATACACAAGAACCATCAGCTCTCCTGCTCCCCGGTATAAAATCAGCTGGAGCCAAATTAGGAAAAACAGTATTTTCCCCACTGCCTTACCTTCCTTCTTGAAATAATAATAGCATGACCAACAATAGCAAAGTTAATAACTGAAGTTTGTAATCAGTAAACTAATTTTCAAAGTAGTACAAGGCAGGAAATAAAGGACAGATGTGAAAACAAATAGAGATAACAACAAAATATAACAAGTCTACATTCACCAGAGCACACTATAAACTTAGTTTACCGTCCACTTGGTAGCGTATTGAGTGTGAGTGTGTGACAGCGTTTAAAGAGGGCATCCATAAAACTTTGGTGGCAGACCTGTCATGAGTTTAGTGTTGTTAAAACTTTCTCTTTTAATAAAAAATTTAAAAACTAAAATAAATTTGTGGTTGGTATTTCCTTTAAAAACTCAGAAGTAAGGCCGGGCATGGTGGCTCATGCCTGTAATCCCAGTATTTTGGGAGGTCAAGGTGGATGGATCACTTGAGGTCAGGAGTTTGAGACCAGCCTGGCTAACATGGTAAAACTCTGTCTCTACTAAAAATACAAAAATTAGCTGGCATGGTGGCACATGCCTGTCATCCCAGCTACTTGGGAGGCTGAGGCAGAAGAATTACTTGAACCCAGGAGGCAGAGATTGCAGTGAGCCGGGATCACACTACTGCATTTCAGCCTGGGTGAATGAGAAAGACTCTGTTTCAAAAATAAAAACTCAGAAGTAAAGTAAATTTTGGTTGAAATCAGTGGTGTGGTGAAATTTAATAAATAATTTTAAATTACTTTCATTTTTGTTGTTTTTGTTGTTCTGAGACAGGGTCTCACTCTGTTGCCGAGGCTGGAGTGCTGTGGCACCATCATGGCTCACTGCAGCCTCAACCTCCTTCGCTTAGGTGATCTTCTCACCTCAGCCTCCTGAGGAGGTGGGACTACAGACATATGCCATCATGCCCACCTAGTTTTTGTATTTTTAGTAGAGATGGTATTTTGCCATTTGCCCAGGCTAGTCTCAAACTCCTGAGCTCAAGCAATGCACTCACCTCGGCCTCCCGAAGTGCTGGGGTTACAGGTGTGAGCCACCATGCCTGGCCCTAAATTACTTTCGTGTCACACATCATTCTTTGCAAAGGATATTCACGTACATTCACCTTGTTTGGTTCTAAGATTTCAGAAATTAGGTAAGGGCTAACATAACATCATGTAGAGAGAAAAATATGTTGATAAACTCTTCAGCTATTTACCTTGCTTCCACAGAAAATTCCATGCTTATAAGAAAGCAATTTAACAAGAATATATTCTACAACTGTTTCATTTTAAATCCTCCTCTGATTTAGGTTATCCAAAGAAGTTAAGGAATAGCTCAAGCTGATATTTTATCTAGCACAATGAGGGGCATAAATAATAAAAATATGTCCATTTTATTATCAGGTAAATTTAATTTCCCCTTCTCTCTTTTAGGATATATATTTCATTTACATTTACATAAACAGTTCAAGGCCCTCTCTCAATGTTGCAACTGGAGTTTCCTTCCTAGGGGATTAAAAAATAAACATCAAAAAGAGTCATAAACACTTCAGAAAGTTCGAGAAAATATTTAAGCTCATCTCTTCTCACCTGTTGGAAGAGAGCAAGCTATAAGATTGTAGGAAAGCAGAGGACACGTGGCTACATATTTTAGACTATTTGCTATGCAAATACAGGTGTAGTGGATGCTGTAGGTCTGATTCCCAGACCCCCGTCATCACCAAGGCACTCCTCTCAGCTGCTTGGAGTGCTGGTGGCTGATGCCTGAGAGCCTCTTTACAAATTGCCCTGGGCCAAAGGGAGCTGCCTCACCCAAGGTGACCCTCCTAAGTAGAGGATTTGATAGCCCCTGCAATGACTGATTCATGCAGGAGTTTACTGGCTTTGCCCTCTTGCCTCAAGGCAAGAAAACTCTGAAGCTCTATTTTACCTCCAAAGTTCTTCATGGCATCTAGGGTAGCCTGAGGCCTCTGATGTGACTACATCACAATCCAGCTCCTTCCTCTTCCCAATCCTATGTTCCTTACTCCTCACAAATGATGCTCCCATGAGCGCTCCCCAGTAAAGTCTCAAAGTTCACTTTCAGAATAACCTGATCTGTGACATCAGGATACAGCAATTCAGGAGTTTAAGTAAAATGTAAAATTGCTTTATTCTAGAATAAATGCTTGCCCCCAAACCTATAGCCCTAATATTGAGGCACAAAATTGAAGCTACCTCTTAAAAATTATCTGTGATTATTTAAAAGATTCCTGCTTTTAAAATCTGGAATAGTCCTAAAATATTTTACTTGCACCAATCTGTAATTGCTCAGCAACAAGAATACTATTTGCAAATAGTGCAAAATCAAAACTGGCAAATATAGTATGTTTCATCTGTAAAGCAAATTAAAATATTCTCTTTGAGAAAATAGCTATTTCATTTTCCCATATTTAAATAGAAACTATTGCATTTAAGATATGAATACATGTTTATTATTATTTTACTTATCACAAAATTATCTTGATAACTATAAACATGAAAATATATAATAAACTTGTAGACCTTTCTATAGGTGAGAAAGTTTTGTTATTAATGTTTACCAACCATGTCACTTTATTCATTGGAATGTCACACTTCTGGGAATATTAATATTCTTAATTTGAGGCAGGTCTTTTAAAGCCTCTGTGGAGTAGGGTCAGAAAAATACATAAACTCTATTTCTAGTACCACATATTTCATAGCCTATGCTATTTTGTTACACAGTTTTAACAAATCAGTCTGATTTCAGAGAAGTTACTATCTCTCAATACTAAATTTGTTATGTGACATTAAAGTCAACAAATGAAAAAAACATTTATTAGTACAGAATAGTAATTAATGCTGAATGAGGTATTGAATAATTAAGGTAAATTAAGTGATTAATGTTCACAAAATTCTTCTCCCTCGTTTTCTGATGATTTTGTTAGTGTATGTTTAGAATTTAAGTTGCAAAAAGTGAACTATAAAATCAACATATTGGCTGGGTGCAGTGGCTCATGCCTGTAATCCCAGCACTTTGGGAGGCCGAGGCAGGCAGATCATGAGGTCAAGAGATCGAGACCATCCTGGCCATGGTGAAGCCCCATCTCTACTAAAAATACAAAAATTAGCTGGGCGTGGTGGCACGCACCTGTGGTCCCAGCTGCTGGGGAGGCTGAGGCTGGAGAATCTCTTGAACCCAGGAGGCAGAGGTTGCAGTGAATAGAGATTGTGCCACTGCACTCCAGCCTGGCGACGGAGCAAGACTCCCTCTCAAAAAAAAAAAGAATCAACATATTAAATATTGCTTTGGTCAATTCGTAAGATTCACAAAAGTATTAACTTGTGAAATTGAAAAACAAAAAAACAGAACCAGAGTAACTAATTCTTAGGTATTTGTCAATGGAGACTGAGAAAGTAAGACAAATTCATTTCAAAAATTTGCATTTTTGAATAGCAAATTAATATGTAAACTTAGACATGTTTATTTTGATAATTCATACACATAAATAGGAACTCTAAGCTAGAGGCTGTCAGTTGAAACTTATTGTATTAGATAATATATGTAAAGTGCCCTAACACAGTGCCTGGCCAACTCGCTCTCACTACATGATAAATACATTTTATAATGAACCAAAGA